GGCCTAGAACAAACACCAGCCCCCCCTCACAGGCTGCTTTTGAAAAGGCAGAAAGGCCTGCATTGAACCAAGCCCAAAAGGAGCCAGCTCCTCTCCCCCCACACACACACACCCCACACACACACCCTCCACTTGCTCCAGGGAGATCTGCAAACATGTCTCTTCTTTCCTGGGCCTTATTTTTCTCACGGTCTTTGAAAAGGCAAGAGATCAGGTGATACGTGTGGGACTGGCCCCATCCAGGTGCAGAGTAGGTGGGGGGGGGGAGATGCCGTGTGGTGCTCCCAAAGAAAGAAAGAGAGAGAGAGAGAGAGAGAGAATGAGGGAGCCTTTTGGTTCAAGCCAGCCTGATTCCTGGCAGCCTGGTGACTGAGCCTAAGCCGACAGAGCTGAGTGTGGGAAAGTCAGTGAAGCGGAGGGGAAAGAGAGAGAGCCGAGAGCCAGCAAGAAAGGGGAGGAATTTTCCAAGGTCTCCAGCAAAATACTTCACTCCCTGCTCCCCTTTCCCCCCCTCCCCCCCCGCGGCCCACCCTCAGCCCTGACTCACCACCTGATGCCTCTTCGGCTGGGGGGGGCAGGCAGTGGTTTGCAAGGGGCCCCCTGCCAGGCCCGCCTGAAACCTCTGGTGCTTCCAGAGGGCCTGGCAGTTAGTTGGGTCTGGGAGTCTGGGAAATCTCCTCTCAAGCGGCAAAGGCTTCAGGCGGCAAAGGGAGGCTCATCTGCAGGAGCCAGAGGGCCCGTTCGGAGGCTGGCTGCCAAGGCCCTGTGCCAGCCAGAGCAGAAACCCCCCTGCAGGTGGATGCCAAGGGAGGGAGGAGGGGGAGACGGCCCATCCCTCTCCACCACCAGCAGCCTCTCAACCACTACCCCCACCCCATCCCCAAGGGACATCCTGTTCGCGTGAGACTCAGGAGGCCCAGCCTTTGCTTCCGAGGCCCTCTGCAGTTCACCTGGAGAGACACGGACCTCCCTCAGGACCTCTGCACAGTCAGCAAGGGAATCCCTTCCTTGCCCTCCCCCACCCACCCACCCCCTGGCACAAGTTGGGGCAGGGGCAGAGAAAGCAGGGCCTGTAGAGGGGTGGCTTCATCCCGTGTGCTTGCGTGCAATTTTTCAGCAGTTGGCTTCCTACTCCCCTCAGGAGACAATGGCCCTCCTCACGACCTCTCCATCAATTTGTGTTGTCTGTTCCAAAGGAACATCCAGTTTTCTTGCTAGGTGCCTCGAGAGCTGGCAATAAAAAAAGGGATCAAGGTTGGGAGGAAAGGGCGCTTGGAAGAGGGAGGGGCCGACAGAGAGTTTGGGGCTAAGCGCCCGGAATTGCCAGGTCCCTCTGCTGCTGTTCTTCCAACCACCTCTGCAGGAGGAGACATTACTGAGAATTGGGGCCCAAGGACTGAGTTCACAAGCGGCACCAGGGGGAAGGAATGGGAAAGAGGGGGCCGTGCCCCCAACCGCTAAGGCTGAAGTCTGGGGCCACACAGTTACCTTTCCTATCCCATCCACCTTGCAGATGTTGGCGGCACAGCGCCTAGCTAGCCTCTCTGCCTTGGAGGCACCAAGGTGGCACCATGCCTTGCCTGCTAGCTGGCCCAGCCTGGCTGGACTCTCCATCCTGCCCAACCCCCCC